AAGTATTTTGAAACATTTTATAATCATTTTTCTGAATTCCTTCTCAGGCATTTCCAAGGCCTGCCCTTCTTCCAGAATGGAGTCCAGGTCTACCTCTAGGTTATTTGTCTCAGACATTTTATCTTGTTTCTGGACATTTGCTGATATGGTTATCTGTTTTTGCTTCTTGAACATGTTTAGTGTTTATCTGTGGCCTTAATACTTAATTATGTGTTTTGGTATTTTTTATGCTTTCTCATTGCTTCCAGGTAGATGTGATCAGGATGTAGGCTTCCTTTTTCACTCTTCTTATTGCTTAACACAGAGTAACTTTCACAGGTGTTGTCTGCCTCTGGTAGATGGCAGTTGGTATTGATTTTTGCCTGGATTTTGGTGTTTTATAGAGTGTGATTGTAGCTTGACTATATGGAAGCAGTTTCTGTCTCTTCTTGGGTAATACAGGGGGAGAAAGAGTCCCCCTAATGTAGAAGGGGGAGCATAAAACAGTAAAACAGCAACAGCAACAAAAAATAAAACACCAAAAAAACCCCAAAAACTAGAATACTGTAGTCTATAATCGTATAAAAGGGAGAGAAGAAAAGAAAGAAAATCTGTAGCCTAATATTAGTATGACTTTAATGCCCTCTTTCAGTTTCTTGCCTTCAAAGCACCTGAGAGATTTCAAGATACCACTGTTGGTTGTTATGCTGTACCTCAGGATTTAATTAAATTTTTGGCCCATTTTGTTTTTAAACTCTTTCTCCCTTTCTACACCCCTGTTCTGGCCTTTCTCATATTTAAAAATAAAACAGTTCAGGGCTGGCTCTTGGGCTGAGAGTATCTGTGTGCATGCGTGGTAGAGAAATCCACCAGTAGTGAGGGTGGGGGGTGTCCACTCGCTCAGGCACCCCCTCTAGTCACCAGAATGAAGATGCACAAACAATGGGGGGGCCAATGAACAGTACCAAAAAAAAAAGAAAATCGGGACAAAGCAAAACTGACAAAGTGTATTGTCTACCTTTGCTCCGAGGTTCCCATGGCGTTTTTCCGTGGAGTGTCTGCTCCCCCGCTTGGTCTTGCCCAAGTTGTCGGCTCCAGGCTGCCAAGCCCAGCAGATTCAAAAGTACACGATTTTTTACTTCTGCTTCAAGTTCTACTGTTATAAGCCTTCAGAGTTTTTAAATATTCTTATCTATGTGGTTCCAAGTTTTGGAGCTCTGCCCTGAATCTGCTTTGTCTGATATTTTGTGGAATTGCTGATGGCGAATTTCACTATGCCTCCACCCTAGCTGCCATCAAGCCCCATCTCTCTATGTATGATGTTCTTGATGTCATCCCACAACTCTTCTGGTCTTCGGTCTTTATTAGGTGGGATATATTCAAGGTCATATTATGGCTCTTGTGGACTTGTTTTCATTTTCTTCAGCTTCAGTTTGAATTTGCATATGAGTAATTGATGGTCTGCTCCATAGTCTGCCCCTGGTCTTGTTTTCACTGATGATATGCAGCTTTTCCATCATTTCTTTCCACAGATGTAGTCAATTTGATTTCTATGTATTCCATCTGGTGAAGTCCATGTGTGTAGTTGTCTCTTATGCTGTCTAAAGGAGTTATTTGAAATGAGCAAATCATTAATTTTGCAGAATTCTATCACACATTCTCCAGCATCATTTCTATCATCAAGGCCATATTTTCCAACTACTGATCCTTCCTGTTTGCTCCCAACCTTTGCATTCCAATCACCAGTAATGATCAATACATCTTGATTGCATGTTTGATGTTTGATCAATTTCAGATTGAAGAAGTTGGTAGAATTCTTCTATTTCACCCTCAATGGCTTTAGTGGTTGGTGTGTAAATTTGAATAATAGTGGTATTAACTGGGCTTCCCTGTAGGTGTATGGATATTATCCTATCACAGACAACGTTGTACCTCATGACTGATCTGGATAAAGAACTGATTGGAAGAGATCCTTATTTGTTCCCATTCCAAAAAGAAGCGACCCAGTGGAATATGGAGACCATCAAACGATATCATTAATATCACATGCAAATAAAAATTTTCTGAAGATAATTTTAAAATGGCTGCAACAATACATTGGCAGGGAACTTCCAGAAATTCAAGCCAGATTCAGAAGAGGACATGAAATGAGGGATATCATAACTGATGTCAGATGGATCTTGGCTTAAAGCAGAGAATACAAAAAGGTGTCTACCTGTGTGTTATTGACTATACAAAGGCTTTCAACTGTGTGCATCATGACAAACTATGGATAACATGGCAAAGAATGGGTGTTCCAGAACACTTCATTGTGCTCATGAAAAACATATACATAGACCAAGCGGTTGCTAGAACTGAACAAGAGGATACTAAGTAGTTTAGAATCAGGAAAAGTGTGTGTCAGGGTTGTATTCTTTCACTATACTCATTCACTCTGTATACTGAGCAAATAATTGGAGAAGCTGGATTATATAAAGAAACATAGCATCAGGATTGGAAGAAGACTCATTAACAATTTGCAACATTAACAATTTGCTGAAAGTGAAAAGCATTTAACATACTGATGAAGATCAGTATGGGTTGCACCTCAGTGTAAAGAGAATGAAAATCCTCACAACTGGACCAGTAAATAACATCACGATAAAGGGATAAAAGATTGATGTTATCAAAGACTTCATTATGCTCAGATTCACTATCAGCACTCATGGAAGCAGCAGTCAAATCTGCTGCACAAGACCTGAGTAAAAATGTCAGTTTGAGGACTAAGGTGTGCCTGACCTAGGCCATGGCATTTTCAGTAACCTCATATGCATGTGAAAGGTGGACAGTGAATAAGAAAGACTATGGGAGAATTGATGCATTTGAGTTAAAGTGTTGGATAAGAATATTAAAAGTAGCACGGACTGCCAGAAGAACAAACAAATGTGTGTTGGAAGAAGTGCCACCAGAATGTTCCTTAGAGTCCAGCAATGGCGAGACTTTGTCTCTTGTACTTTGGACATATTTTCAGGAAGGACCAATCCCTGGAGGACATCATGCTTGGGAAAGTGGAGGATTAACAAAGAAAAGGAAGACCCCCAAGGAGACGGATTGACACAGTGACAGCAGTAAGGGGTTCAAGCATAAAAAAAATGTGAGGATGGTGCAGAACCAGGCAGTGTTTTGTTCTGCTGAACACAGGATCACCATGAGTCGGCACTCTATGGCATCTAATAGCAACGTGATAGTTGTTAAATGCCATCTGGTAGAGTTGGTTCCAACTCATAGTGACTCTATATAGGGTTTCTGAGCATTGGCTGGTGGATTTAAACCACCGACCTTGTAGTTAGCAGTCCAGTGCTGCTCCTACAGCACCACACCAGGTAGAGGCTCAATTAGAAATGCACCTGCTTTGGATTACTTGACTTCTGCTCAACCTACCCAGAATCCTGTGTCTTGGATGCAGGAGGGGCAGAGTCCCTTTCTCATACTTCCTCCACTACCTCTGTCCTTCAGTTTCCTAAAACATTCAAAGAAGCAGGTAAGCCCATATGGGCAGTAACACTCGGGCTTTCTCCAGGGAGTGGGTTTGGTTCAGTGCAACCCATCCGCTCTCCTAGAATAAACAGATACCAACTACTGATAGGAGAGCAGTATTGTCCTCTCAAGGGGAGGGTAGTACTTTATTTAATGGACTCTGTAATAAGAAAACAGGCGCTGCTCTTCAGGTAGCAGGGGAGGAAACAGCCCTGACTTTGACGGAGATTCTTGTGACCAGGAGGCAATGCCATGGGGACTGCTCAGCTCTCTGCCTTTGACTCGGACGTTCTCTCTTCTGCGTTTTGGCTTGAGTGAATTCGAAGAACTTGGGCAGTTCCGATGTACTCTGGGGGTAGAAGAAAGACAGCAGGTAGGAGAGGATGAGGAAGAGGGGCCAGGCCTTAGATGGGAGCTCCCCAGCAGATTCCTCCTCCCTGCAAGGCCACCCCAGATATATGAGAGCAACTTAGCTTCTGCTCTTGAGTCTGCTGGGAACCTCCCTTCTCTGAGCCTCACTACCACCCTGACTTAGTAGCCAGGTAACAAATATCAATGAAGTGCCTGTTTGTTAATGGGCAAGCAGGAGCTTGGGCTGCCCACAGGGGCCTTATTGTCTAGTGAAGGTGATCAGGAACACTATCTTTCCTTTTGACTAGTCCCTGGGTGGTGCAAATGGTTAAGTGCTTGACTCATTGACAAAAGGTTAGCAGTTTGAACCCACTCAAACACACCTTAGAAGAAAGTCCTGGAAATCTATTTCTGAAAGGTCTTGAAAACTCTACGGAGCAGTTCTACTCCATACATATGAGGGCACCATGAGTCTGCATCTGTTCTAAAGCAACTAACAACTCAATTCTTTCCTTCAATATCTCCCCACCCTCCACAGCCTTCTCCTTGCCGTGTCCCCTGGTTCACTCCATTGCCCTGCTTATAACCCTTCAGAGCACCCCACCCAAGAGAGGCCCAGGCCTTATATCTCCTCCCAGGCCTGTGTGGAGCTCAATTCTTACTTTTCCTGGCACAAGGCCTGACTCCCTGGCCTGCTTGCTCTTCCACAACCCTTCAGGACTGTGAACTCTGCTTGCAAGCCTCCCCAGACCTAGATGTGGCTGGATCCTTTCCAGTCCTTCTGCTCTAGGAGCCCACTCCTCACACCCACAGTCCCTCTGACTATTTACCACATTACCCTGCTTTACTTTCTTTCTAACTCCTATTGCCCTCGGATTGTTTTCTCATGTGCTGTCTGCATCCCTCCTCACTAGAACGGAAGCTCCAGGAGACAGGGACATGCCTGAATGCTTCCCTAATGATTCCAGAGCCCTGCACGTAGTGGGCACTAAACAAGTATTTGTTGAATGAATGGATGGATGAGTAAGTGGACAAATGAGAGAATCAACTAAATGAGCCTGAGTACCCTGAGGACTCTAGTCAAGAGGGGTCTCGGGAAGCCCTGGATGACCCACTGTATGGAATCTTACCTGGCTTCTCGCTCTTCGGTATGGGTGGTGTCATAGTTTTCTTCGGGGATTGACTATAACCAAATACAAAGGAGAGGATGGGGAGGTGAGGCCAGAATCCACTCAACAAAATGCAAGGTGACAAGAACAGGCAAGAGTAGCTCCTCCTAGACAGCCCCAAACTGTCTGTCCATGCTGCTGTTAGGTGGCCTTCCTATTCCACCCCAGGATGACTCAGGCAATTTGGACTCTATTGCTTCCTTGGTCACGGAGAACCAAGGCCCTGTGTATTACCATCTCTGGGGCTCTGTATTTTAACAAGTTCCCAGGGTCACCCAGAGTCCTACGGAGCTTTAGAGTCAGGTAGGCCTGAGTCTGAATCCCAGAGCTTTTGCTGGCCAGTTGAGTGACCTTGGGTAGGTCATTTTCTCATTGTAGAATGGATGCAATGCTGCCTCAATGGGCTGTAGGACGGACTAGAAAGATGTAAACCCCCTCCTCCCCCCAGCCAAGCCAGGCAAGCACAGGCAAGCTCCATATTTCCAGTTCTATTTATTGTTGATACTTTGACCCTCCTCAACTGCTGTATGAGGCCTTCCCTGATCTCCTGTCCCCTCATTTGCCATCTCTTTCTCCTCTGGCCATCTATCGCCCACAACAGGAATTTCTGCTTGCCCTGTGTTAGCACTAGCTCTCTGCCTATATATTCCCACAGACAGGTCACAGCCAGCCACCTCTGACCTTGGGACTTTGAGTCTGGTCTGGCCCAGTAGTCTTCCATCAAAGTGGTGGGTTTGGAGCCACCACCAAATTCTCTTCTCTGGGTCCCAGTATCCCTCACCTGGGAGCAGCTCTGGGAACAGGGGGGTGGGCGGCAGAGTGAAGCCCACCTGTAGGAGGACTGTTGCTTCTCCTGAGGTGATTCTTGAACTTCTTGAAGTTGGTTCAAAAGTTTCTGTGTAGGGATCGAGACCAGGGGCTGGGGGAGAAGCTGAGCTACAGCTGTCTGCAGGAGTCCCAGTGCCAGGTCCTTCTCTGAAAGCACAGGCCCCGGCAGTCTCAGGACAAGACCCAAGGGTACTCTGCCTAGCCTTGGATGGAGCAGGGAGCTGCACTTCTGCCCAGAGGGTGCTATGGGGGACCCTCTATTTCTTTCCTTCCTCTGTGTGCAGAGCCCCAGGGCCCCACAGCCCACGCTCTGCACAGTCCTGTGTCTGTCTTGTTCCTGTGTCCCTCTGGCCTTCCTGAGGGGCTCTCACCACCCCTCACCCTCCCACTTACTCCTCTGCCCTGACCCCCATGCCCAGTGTGTGCATTCTGAGACCCATTCCTAGTTGCCTGCATTTACACCTGTGGGTCCCACGGCAGTGGGACTGAGAGCTATGCCCCAGCTGCCGAGGTGCATTCAGCATGAAGAAGGGGGCCCCTCAGGGAGGGCAATATACAGGAAGAGGGAGGGTGGCAGAAGAATGGTGAAGCCAGGTGAAGACACAGGGACTTATGCAAGGGCTAAAGGGGAGAGCGGTAAATAGCGACATATAAACAACCTGGGACAACAGTGTTCTGTGGGTAGACACACAGACAGAGACACAGGCTGAATGGGCAGGGAAGGAAGAGTGGGGTATATATATATATTCCACTCTTCCTCTCTACCCATTCAGCCTTTCTCTCACTCTCTCTCTCTCTATACACACACACACACACACACACACACATATAATTGTTAAGTGTTGTCAAGTGGTTTCTGACTCATAGTGACCCTGTATAGGGTTTCCAAGGAGCAGCCAATCTTTCAGTTCAAACTAACCTTTAAGTTCAGTGCATCAACTCATGTAACAACAATCACAATATATATGTGTGTGTGTGTGTGTGTGTATATATCCCACAAATAAAATGAGTTTGAAAGAGGATATTTGTACATAAGTATTTACCTTTCCTGAAAACACAACTGTGGAATGTGATGAGCATGTTGTTGTCGTTAAACTCATAACGACCCTTCAGTTCAAACCGACCTTGCAGTTCAGCGCACTCACCCACAGTGCCACACCAGGACTAATGTATAGGTTGGCAGTTCAAAGTCACCAGTCACTCCTTAGAAACCCTATACCAACTGCTCTGAATGGGATCACATTAGAAGTGGTCCCTGGCTCACTCTACTACCAGGATAGAGTGAGAGAAAATGTGGAACAAAACTCAAAGTCAGTTTAAAAATGACTGGGCTTATCAGAAAGAGCCTAGAGGAACCTGAGCTATGGCCCTCTACCACCTTTCGGGTCTGGAAAGGAACTCACCTTTGGGGTCCAATTTTCATCCATGCAGTAGATAGGTAGGTAGGAGGGACAACACTAGTAAGGTATACTCACCATGGAAGAGTCAATCATTCTAAATCAAAAGGGCAACATTTACCTAAGAACAAAGTTGAGCAGGGATGGGGAGGAGCATGGAAAGGAAACAGGAACCCCAGGGAGGAGGAAGCGAGGTAACTTGCTGCATGGAGGGGATTGCAATCAGTCAGATGAAACCAAGTATATGATTGGTTGAATATAAAGCTGATGATCTTGTCTGTGAACCTTTACTCAATTCACAATAAAAAGTTCTTTTGTTTTTAAAAAAAGAAGGGGTCCTCTGGAGGGTATGGGAGAAGGATTGCATGGAGGGGATTGTAACCATGGCAATGAGACAATATACGATAGAATGAATGTAAAACTAATGTTCTCCCATGTAAACTATCACATAATTCACAATAAAACATTTAAGAAAAAAAAAAAAGGGGGGTCCCTTCAAAGGAGAGGAGTCACGGAACCCCTGCTAAGGATCGGGGAGGAGGAAGCAGAGAAAGCAGGGCCCTTGGTGGCTGGAGCTGAGTGACATCAGAATCCACCGGAGAGGAGGAGGGGACCCTGTTGTGTCCTCACCCTTCGGGGGAGCAGAGAGTAACCAGAACTGGATAGCACTTAGCGAGTCTGTTTGCAGGATCTGACAGAGGAGCTCCAGGATCTGTGGGCAGGAGGAAGGTATGTTTAGTGTGCTAGCTGGCAGGTTCAGCCAAGAGCCCAAGTGAACCTGACTTCATAGGACCCTCCCCACAACAGTCCTTGCCTGCCCCCTGCAAGGATGTGTCTCTCACAACAGCCCTAGAGGAAACTTCTTGACTGCCCGCCAGACAGATGAACACTGGAGGTCTCAAGAGAGGCAGTCTTGTAGCAGGACCAGGCCTCAGAAGCCAGATATATGGACCTCTCACCCCTTGAGGACTCTCCCTGAAACCCCTCATTCAGATGGCAATGTCAGAACTGTCAGGGGGCCGCCCCTTAGAGACACACCGAGTCCCAAGTGCCCTGGTCCTTGGTGTGGGAATTTTGGGAACCTCACAGGTCTCCCCACCCTGAAGCTCCCCAAGTTTGGAAGTGTTGGCAAAGAGGTTGGGTGGTCCCAGTGGGTGGCCTGAAGATCAGGACTGGCCAGCTGTGTACACGGCTTGGCAGAGGGCGTCTTCCTGCAGTTCAATGAGTCCACTTGACTCCCAGCTGCCTTCTCAGCCTTTGGTATCTTTACTACTTCAGGGCCCGTTTTCCCCCATGCTGGCCAGTCAAGATCCAGCTGTCTCTTGGATGGGCTATGGGGGTTCCCTAGGCCAGGTGGCTGATGGTGGCAGTGGCTATGACTGGCTGGAAGTCTTGGTGGGAGGTGGAGCCCCTGGAGTCCTAGGAGAATGGGGTCCTTCAGCACTTGGCAGCCAATCTTCTCAGGACCCAGAGGGGCCTGTCTGTCCCCAGAAGGTCTGCCTTGTCTGTATGTAGCAGACTGGGAAGTAGGTAAGACCTGTCCCCAGACTAGCATGGGTGCCCACCCTCCCCCCCAGGTACCCACCCACTATAGTTACCCACCCTGATCTGCCCCTGGGCCCTTCTCGATTCTCCGCATCCAACTTACCTGCCCTGTGCCCCCTCCCCACAGGACCTGAGAACCTAATTCCAGGCAAGGTGAGGCCGCCCTATGATGGAGAAAGTACTGGGTTCTAGTACCAGCTTGACTGTTCTCTCTCTGGGGAACCTGGACCAAGGAATGTCACCTGGCAGGGCCTCAGCCTCCCCATCTGTGTTATGGAGACCCTAAGCCCTGTCTGCTCTATCTACTTCACTGACAAGTTTTCAGTCTCTAGAGCAAGTGTGGCCTGCAGGCTGTATGGTGATGGTTGGTAGTTACGTGCTGTGGAGTCAATTCTGACTCATAGGGACTCTATATAGGGTTTCTGAGGCTGTAAATCTTTACAGGAGCAGAAAGCCTCATCTTCCTCCAGTGGAATGGCTGGTAATTTCAAACTGTTGACCTTGAAGTTAACAGCCCAACTTGTAACCACTACATCCGCGAAATCATTTGGTCAGGCCCTGCCAAAGCAACCACAGTACCATAGGGGTGAGTTAGTTAGATACAGCAGGCTAATTTTTAAGTTGATAATTTTGTATGGCCCACGAATGATGTTATAAAGATCTAAATGACCCTTGGCAGAAAAAGCTTCCCCACCCTTGCTCTAAAGGAAGGTGTGGAGATGCTGGCTCTACGTCTGAGCTTTCCTGGAGAACATGTGTGCATTTTAACAGGGATCACTGATGCCTTAACTTGTGGGAATGAGCAATTTCAGACCTTGATGAGGGAACCTGGACATGGTAGAGGTGGGCTTTGTGCTCTGCCTAAGCAGAAGACGAAACTCTCAGAATGTAAGGAGACAAGGCTGGGACTAGTCTTGCAGCACTGTAAAGGTGCCGCATACCATTGTGAGAACACACTAGGCAGGTGTTGTCAGTCCCAATGCCTCTATTTCACCATGATACCTCCCTTCAGGAACTCATCAAATGGCAGAACTGAAACACAGCTTTGATAATGTGTTCATGCATCCCAGTTTGTATAGACCAGGAAGCTAAGGGGAAGGACATACACAGAAGGGAAAAGGTTACACAGAAACCTAGAGGCTCCTGACTCCCAAGCCTGGGATTTTTGAGTCTTAAAAAGTCTTAGGTAAAAGTCCTCCAGGGAAAGGCCACACCTTCCAGCAGTTTGCAGGAGTCTTGGGTGGGAGAGCTGACCTTCCCCATGTCTTACCAGCAGCTCCTGGTCCTGCAGCACAAAGGTCTGGACTCCGCCGTCTTGGCTAGAAGCGTGGCGGCGTTGACCCTGGCGGTAGGTACGGCGGGCAATGGCACGTGTGGAAGCTGGGATGAGCCTCCCAGTCTCAGCTGAGTACTTCGCCCCCTGCTCTCTCTGTGGCTCTTCCTTTGGCTAGAAGAAAAGTGGACAGAAACTCTAGGCATCACAAGAAGGGGAGGAAGAAAACATGGGAAGAAAATGAGTCTGGGTTCCATCTCCAACGTGCCATGCTGACTGTCTCTCCATACCAACACCCTCCCTCCCTCCATCCTGGACACAGCATTGCAGCACTGCCAGCGACCCGTTGTCATCTGGGTATCTCCGTCCTGGTCTGCACTGTCTCTTCAGCATCTCTGACGCTCTCCCGATGGAAAGCCCTTCTTTTCTGACCGGTCACTAACAAGTCCATTGTGACTTATGGTAACGCTGGGTGTGCTGAAGCAGAACTGTGCCCCCCAGAGTTTCCAGTGGCTGATATTTTGGAAGGAGATCACCAGATCTTTCTTCCAAGGCACTTCTGGGTGGACTAGCATCTCGAACTTCTCAATTGGCAGACAAATGCATTAGCCATTTGCATTATCTTCTGTTGTAAAAGCTCACTGTCATAGGCCAGCCTAGAATTGCCACATAGGGTTTCCAAGGCTGTAAACTTTTCAGATGCCACTATTACATCTTTCTCACATAGACTGCTGACCTGGTCATTAGCCACGGAGTGCTTAATCACTGCATCACCAAGGTTCTTCCCTTCTACCCTTGTAGAGCCACCACCATGAAGCTGATTCCCCCTCACAGGGACCTTCTAGGACAGAATCGAACTTTTCAGGATTCCGACACTGTTCATCCTGAAGAGAGCAGACAGCCTCCTCTTTCTTCAGTGGAGCAGCTGGTGGTTTCGAACTGCTGACCTTTCCGTTAACAGACAACACTTAGCAAGGTCTCCTATCCTCTTTGTTGTTGTTAATTGCCATCAAGTCGGTTCTGACTTACAGCGACCCTGTACAGGGTTTCCGAGAAGTAGCTGGTGGGTTTGAACCATCGACCTTTACAATTATCAGTCCAGTGCTTACTCTATGGAGTATGGAGCTTTGGGAGTGCTATGGGATAAAACGTTTGGCTACTAACTGCAAGGCTGGTGGTGTAAAACTACCAAGTAGCTCCTTGAGGAAAAGATGAGGCTGTCTTGCTTTTATAGAGAATTTCCGTTTTGGAAACTATATATAGGGTCGCTATGAGTTGATGGTATTTTAAGATAAGCACAGGACTTCAACCTCAAGGTTGACAGTTCAAGCCTACCAGCCACTCCTTGGAAACCCTGTACCGAGTCGCTATGCTTCAGAACTGACTTGATGACAGTAACAGCAACAACATGAGTTAATGACAGTGGATTTGGGGGCTTTAAACTAGCAAATAATTTTCCTGGAAGACAGCATCAGAAGTTTGAAATCTGGACGCCCCCTGGTGGTCTTCCTTCTTCCTGTGTTCCTCATTCCCTTAGCACGGGGTTTATTTTTCACATCTAAAATGGACTGGAGGGACAGCAGGAGAGAGCTACACAGGAGTCCTGGTGTGGCACTGTGGGCTAATGCGTCAGACTGCAAAGTTGTTTGAACTGCACAGTCGGTGGTTTAAGCTCACCAGCTGCTCCTTGGAAACCCTATACAGGATTGCTATGTGTCAGAATCTACTTGACGGCACTTAACAACAACAAGGGAGTGCGGAAGGAGCTCTGTTAGCATAGTGATTACAAATCAGGCTGCTAACTTCAGGGTCAACAGTTCGAAACTACCAGTTGTTCTGTGGGAGAAAGATGAGACTTTCTGCTCTCATAAAGATTTATAGCCTCGGAAACCCTGTACAGGGTTACTATGAGTCGGAACCAACTCCACGGTATATAACCACCACCACCCAAGGGAGTACAGTGGTTCTGTAGGACAAGCACTGGATTTTGAGGCAGAAGATTGGTGGTTTGAGGGAAGAAGTGGCTTTCTGCTTCCGCAAAGATTTACAACCCGGGGAACCCTATACAGGGATCACTGTGAATGTGAAGCGCCTAGACAGTACTGAGTAACAAACAGCAATAATACCCTGAGCTAAGGCCCCCACTACTCACATTAATTTCTAGCTCAGCTATGCCCAGATCCTTTCCAGCCTCCAGCGTGGCAAGGGAAACCTTCCTTTCTTTGCCTGGGAACCTTCCCACAGCCAGATTTCTGGGCACAAGGTCTGGAGGCTCTGCCTTTGCCATTCCAGTTAAGAGTGGTAGTATCCATATCCTCAGTTTAAAGCTAAGAAAACTGAAACCCAGACGCTTAGCTGATTGGCCGTGAGCCATGTCAGCCACAGAGACTGGAAGCCAGGACTCCCTGCCCTCCACTCTGGCTGCCCAACACAAGGGAAGATCAAGACCCAAAGGGCCAGGCCTGTCCTAAGACTGCGTCCAACCACCTTCAAGCTGCCCTTCAACTCTCTCTACTGTTTTATCACCAAATAGCACCAAATGAGGCCTTCCACTCTGTTTGAAAACCTTCAGTGTTTCCTGACTGCTTATGAGATTAGAGACGAAGCTCAGAATGTAAGGACAAGCTCTTATTCCCCATAGTCAAAGCCAGGCCTCCTTGCCATCTGGGTTCCCACTGCTGAGTCCTGCTATGGTGCTGTGGGATAATACACTGGACAGCAAGGACATGTGTGTTTGGGTTTAGTTAGAGCCACAAGGTCGGTGGTTCAAATTCACCAGTCGCTCCTTGGAAACCCTAGATATGGTCCCCATGAGTCGGAACCGAGTCGACAATACTTAACAATAATAGCAGCAGAACACTTACAATCTGCATTCTATCTTCCCCGCCCACCACATCCCTGAAAACACCCTGCATTTGCCAGTTTCCGGGCTTTTATGCCCCAGACTACATACATGTCAGCATCCACTTATATTTGAGGAGCCCCCAATGTCAGCCCTTCCATAAATCTGTCTTGAAATGTTTTCTCTCCTCCCTTGAAGCTCCTCTGTGACTCTCCTCACTTACATTCATGTTCATGGGCCCTCTGCTCCAGTGCCAAGGGCAGAGCCTCCATCAGCTGGGTTGAACCTACTCTGGACAGATCACATTAAAGGGATGCATCTCAGAGGAGCGCCTTTGTTCTGCACCCACCTCTTTGTTCTTCATTTCGTTCTCCTTGGTGAAGATGGCCACCCTGGAAGCCAGGTCCTTCAACTCTCTCTTCCAGGTCTCTGGGAAGAGGGGACAAGATCCTGCCAACTGCTATTCAGTGCCCCTCCTGGTGGCATCAGATGGTGGGAGGGATTTGGGGGAGCCCATCCTCCTTCCCAGCCTTCCTGCCCAGTAAGGGTAAGGGGCAAGGGTGGAGGACTGAGAATTAGAACATGTGTGTTTGGGTTTAGTTTCTCTAAGAGGAGCTGCTGCTGATGTCTTAGTTGTGGTGTTTCTGGGAGAAGCTGAAGAACATTTGGCTACGAGTGCCAAGGTGTGTATGGCTCAATCTACTTTTGACTCTTTTGAGTACTCGTAGCTAGGACTGAGATTCAGCAGATCTGGCTGCGCCCATTATTAAAACAGTGAATTGCTTCCTTCGTATCTTCCAAATCTCTCTGCCCTGCACTGGCTATGCCAGCCCCAGCCCAGAATCACCCTCCTCAACTTGACTTTCTCACACCCCACTATCTGAAAGGGCGAGGCTTAGCAAAGCAGAAAGCTCCAAACGGTTGCTCCAGCACTGCACCTGACTGCTCTGTTCAGCTGGATGGAGCCTGAGCATACAGGTCCCTAACATTTCTATCTATAGCTTCCGGTCACATGACTATTGCCAGAATCTGTTTATCACTCTTCAAATTTCTAAAATACAAGCAGGGAACTGTGGGTTGGGGAGCAATGCAGAGCTGCATCTTCTCAAAGAGATGAGGAAAAGAGTAGGGTCCACCACTAGACCCCACAGATATCAGAGCAGTAACCATCTCCTCCCACATGAGGCAGCCCTTGAGGAGAGATATGAACCCCAAGGGAGGGGGGTGTGGCTCAAATACCCACCAGAAGAAAGCCAAGGGTCCCGATTGGATTGTGGGTCTCCAATAGGGGCAGAGGTAGTGGGCATCCCCATCACACAGCTGGGTAAGAATACAGCTGGAGGCAAGCAGGTCAAAGAGGACTCGTCCCGGACAACACAGACAGGCTTCCCAGTGAGGTCTGCAAAGGGTTACAGGATGTGGGAAGGGGGCATGAGCAGACCCAAGAGTTATGGAAGGTGGGAGGAGGTGGTGGGCAGGGAGAGCAGTGTCCCTACTTTGTCTAGTACCCACCATCTATAGATCCTCAGAGATAAGAGAGGCTCCCAGCTCTAACCACCTAGACCAGTTGCTCATCCTACCCATTGGGACACTTGGCATGGTTAGGGGCAGGGTCCATTCAGGGTCATGTAGCACTCAAGCAGGGGTGAGATAATAACCCAGGCTTCCTGCGACCCCAGTCCAAGGGGTGCCTCTGGATTTCTATGGCAGGGCAAAGAACTGCTGGTATGAGCATCCAGGGTTGTTATTAAGGGCCATGTAGTCAGTTTTGACCCATAGTGACCCTGTGTAGGATTGCCGAGGTTTTAAAAAAATCTTTTGCAGGAGCAGAAAGCCTCATCTTTCTCCCTCAGAGTGGCTGGTGGGCTCGAACTGCCAACCCTGTGGTTCACAGTCCAATGCTTATTCTAACAATCCTTTAATATAAGGATGATGGGGTGGGGGTATGAAGAAGTCACAGTCACTGACAGGAAGAACAAGAGCGCAAATCACAGGGAACCAACTCTCGCTAGACCCTCTGTTGCCTGGGGCAAGACTGAATGCAGGGTTGCCTGGAGGAAGTGGTGAGGTTTACTCACAGAGACCCTTTTGGCCTAAGGACTGGGTGATTCCTACATGATGTTTGAAATAGTTAAGCTTTGAGGACAAGCATAGTTAAGGCTTAACACGAGTGCTCATATGCTCTTTGAAGCCCTGACCTTTTTTGCTTCCAGAACACCCTAGTCTGGCTTCTCCCACCTAGGGCTCAGTCCATAGTCTTTGCTCTTCCCTGTCTCTGTGGACAATGGGATGGTCTCATCCAGCACAACACTAACACTGTCTCTATTCCAAATCTGCACACTTGTATCTCTCCTGACACCTCCACCTAGCTAAGGGCAGGGACTGTGTTTGATTCCCTGTTGTATCTCCAGGAGCAAGAAAGCACCTCACCCAGAGTTCACACTCAGTAAGTATTCGATGGACAAATTGTCAAGTGGGTGAAATAGGCTGATTTAACTAACAGAGCCCAGCTCTGGGGCCGACTTTCACCAGTCTGGTTTGTAAGATGGGGGGACTCCTTCAGGAGTCAGACTTAGTCACTTGGCAGCTCTGTGTTCCTGGCCAAGTATACATCCTTTCTGAGGCCTTGGAAACAAGAGGTTGGGGGAAATACTCCTTTCCAGTTCTCAGATGGATCCATGAGCACTCTGTGCCCCCACCCCACCCCACCCCATCCCACCCCTCAGCAGCCAGACTCTGGAGGCTGGTCCTACCTTGGATGTGGGTTACGCGCTGGGGGTGGGGGTGGTGCCTGGAGAAGAAGGAGTGATGGCTAAGGCGGCCAAAGCGGTAGGCACCAGGGGTTTGGGGCTTGGAGCTCCTCACTGCCTCTTGGGTCAACTCGAAATCCACGATGCCTGGGACCATCAGTTCTTTCTGTGGCACACTGTCCTGGTGAGTCCTTGGCCTGGGCCTGGACTTTTTCTCAGTCTTCAGCTCAGCCTTGGGACTGAAGGAGAGAGAGGGTCACGGAGTTCAGAACTTAAGACAGAGTTCATTCCTTAGACACTCTGAAATCTGGTTTCCAGGTTTTCACTAAGCCCCACTGGTATTTAAAGCTCCCCCTGAATCCCTTCCCAGTTGATACAATCCAGTCTCAGGGATTGTTGTTGTTGTTGTTAAGTGCCTTCGAGTCGGAGCCGACCCATAGCGACCCTGTACAGGGTTTCCGAGGGTGTAAATCCTTACGGGAGTAGAAAGCCTCATCTTTCTCCTGCGGAGCGGCTGGTAGTTTCGAACCACTGACCTTAAGGTTCGCAGCCCGATTCGTAACCACTACGCTACCAGAGCTCAGGAATACTAGACCACAAAGTCAGTTTGAACTGCAAGGCTGGCAGTTCAAACCCTCCAGCGATTCTCAGAAATCCTATACAGGGTCGCTATGAGTCAGAATTGACTTGATGTCACTTAACAACAACAAGGATCCATTGGAGGAAACTCAGATAGAATTTCCCAAGGTCCCAGTTTTCTCCCTAGACAATCTCTAAAGTCAGAAAGAAGCCACAGACCCACCTATTCACCCAAGCACCTGAGGCTAGAGCAAAGGCACTTTTATACACCCCAGGGCCGGGGGGGGGTGGGGGGGCTGACCCCAGCAAGGATGTTCCCCCCAAGCCACGCTGTTGGCAGCCCAGGAGAAGCCAGCTGTGGGTTATTCCCCTCCCCCTTGCCTTCAGGGGCTGTCTTGGCCTGGACTCAGCATCCATGATCCAAGGCCAAGCCAAACGAGCAAGTCCTTTTCCCGTGGACACCCTTCCTAGGAGCTGACTGCTACAGGGAAGTTTCAAGTTCTTGTTTCCCTGGTGAGACGCCATCTCAGGTTCTCTGTCCTCCACTCTGAACCCCTTCCCCATCCTGAGGGTGTTGAACCTTTGCCCCTGGTGGGAAATCAAGGATGGATGCAAAAGGCGGGGACTCCCTGCCTGGGGTTTGGTGGCACCACCTGCCTGCTTGTGGTCTGTACGCCCGTCTCATGGAGACCCTGGCTGAAGGGAGGCCCTCTGGTGGAGAGTAGCTGGATTCTGGATATGCTAAGCAAGGCGTGCTGCCCCCGGACCCTCTGAGGACTTCGCTGACCAGGTCCCCGAGTTTTCTGATTCATTCTTGATTTGCCTCTAAGGGACCTGGGACTTAAAGAAATAAAGTAAACTTTCTTGTACCTGCAACTAATGGAGAAGACCCCCTGAGAAGCCGTGAAACTTCTACCCACCTGGCATCACACCCCCTCCCTACCAGAGAAGGGCCAGCCCATGACCTGTCCTACCTGGTGGGCCTAGAGTCCTCCTGAGAACCTACTGGGGCCGGCTGATGGTGGTGGAAGGTGAAGGAGGACTCCTGTCTTGACGTCCAGTGTTTTGTCTCCACCTTTACCCTCATTGCCCACCCTACCACCACCACCTCCTCAGTCATCCAAGAGCCTTACCTCATCAGCAGATGTTCTGCCAACTGAGTCCTCACCTCTGTCATCATTATAGGGTTTCTAACGGAAGCAAGACCAGTGCATTGAAGACCAGTGTTAAAGAGACTCACAGAGATGTGCTGGGAGTATATTGGCGAAATCTTGCAAAATTGAACATTCTGCATGCCACACCACCCAGCAATTTCTCTCTCAGGTATCTACCCAGGACAAACTCCTGCACAGATGTGTCTTTGTTGTTGTTGTTAAGTGCCATTGGGTCAGTTCTGACTCATAGTGACCCTGTATAGGGTTTCCAAGGAGCAGCTAGTGAGTTTGAACTGTCAACCTTATGGTTCAAACCGACCTTGCAGACCAGCACATTAACCTGCAGCACCACACATGGGGCTATTTATAGGCATATTGATAGTAATATGGCCTCAACTAGCAAAAATCTGGTGACAGCCCCAATGTCCAATGGTAGAAGAATGAATAAGTAGACTGTGTGACGTTCACACCAGGAAAATGAGTCACAGAGGCACAAAACAACATGAACCAAGCTTACAAATAAAATGCTAAGTGAAGTAAAACAAATTCCTGGAGATTGTATATGAGGCTTTTTTTTTTTTAATGTTCTTAATGAAATGTGAATTCACGTGAAAGTGTATTTTTGCTCATTTCAAATACATTTTTAATTTTCTCCCCTTTCTGAGGTATAACTAAAGTGCAATAAGGTATATAAAGCTTTATAAAAAAAGTTCTAAAGTAGGCAAAGTTATCATGGATATAGATAAGGGGGCTTCCAAAAGTATGTGACGTGGAATTAAAAGATAATGGGATTTCCACAAACTTTTGGAAACCTCCTCATCAGTGATAAAACTTTTAAAGAAAAGAAAGATGAGAAATTGCTAAACATAAACTTCAGGTAGTGCTTACACTTGAGAAAGATGGGGTAGGAGAAGAGCTTAGAAGGATGTGTGTTGTTGGGAATATTCTATTTCTTTGTTTGGATGGTACCATTGTTAGTGTTCAGTGTTGTCACTCTGATGTGACCCTGTGTAGGGTTTCTGAGGATTTAAATCTTTGAGGGAGCAGAAAGCCTCATCTTTCTCCCACACAGTGACTAGTGGGCTCCAATTGCAACCTTGTGGCTTGAAGCCCAGTACTTCTCCTAAAGAAACACAGTGCTCCCAGTATTAAATATATTATTCAATAATTAATTCAATGAGATGGATGCAAGATGATAGGTGTCAAAACCAAGAATTGTGGTTACTCTAAATCTGTGGGCAAGAAAAAAATCGACATCAATATCTGACTACCACATACACACACACACACACACAACTTAAGGGCTAAGGTGGTAGGTGCCAGGATGGAGTGGGACAGGAAATCAGTGCATTCTAAGAACTAAACCTCAAATCACAGAAGCACAAAGATGGGCCCTTGAGATCCCTCAATGCCATCACGTCATCAGGTTTGGCTAGGGCGGATCACCACTGCCTGCCTGACATCAGAAAAGGGAACCTTGCTGAGGTTCTAAAAAGAAAAGCAGGCTCTAAAGAGAAAAACAATGGCCAGGAAGCCCCAAACTCCTCTGCCAACAGGTAAAGGCACTCCTCGCTAGAACAGAGACTTCCAAATGCTTTTGACTGGGACCACAGTAAGAAATTCTTTGACTTCATGCCTCAGTTCACACATATATGTGCACACGCTTGTGTGTGTGCATAAAACCAACCAAGGGTGCCCTGAAGTAATCCTTACCCCTATACTACAGGTGATGCACCCTGATATTACGATCCTGGGTTTTTTTCTGTGTTCATTTTGTCAGTGTTTCCATTCATCAAATTGACTTTCTAAGCCACTAATGGGTCACAACTCTCAGATGCTGAGAGAGGGCAACAGGGACTCTGAGCAGAGCAGGCCAGGCCCCACTGTGGTCCGTCCCTGCTCTGCTGCCTTTCCCCTCTCTCTGGGCCCCCCAGGTAGCCAGGCACCAGCAGTCTGAATGCTCACATCAATCCGGAGACAGAGCTTCCCTCTTCCCTACTTCTGCCCTCTTGGCCCTTCCCAGTGGCCTGACTCTGAAACTCTTCCTCCCTGGAAGAGTTCTCTGGACTCACCAAGGAGCGTGCTCACTCTAGCATGTGTTGGTGAAGCCTTGCTGCCCAAGGGAGCAGGAGCAAGAGGGCAAATCAGCAAGAAGGTGCTTGGGTTCCTATGGGCAAGTCTGCCTGCTTTGTGACTGCACTGAGCTCAGCGGTTGCTAGGCTACCCCTTTGAAAACTCCAGAACCACTTCCCCGCACCCCTCTCCCTCACCCCCCACCCAGCTCATTTTTCCTTTGCCTGACTTGCGGTGGAGCTTCTCTCTCCCTCCAATCTGCCTCTCTGAGGAAACACGCAGTCCAGAATTTGTGATGGGGACCAAGCGAGAGAGCCAGAGTATGAGGCTGGTTTTGCCAGCAAGCAATAGCAAAGAGGAAACCTGGCTAAGTTCATTGGTCGGATTGGGTCCTTGCTCTGTCAGCCTGATCAGGTCTGGGGGAAGGTAGATGATGTCTGTGGAGGGGTCTGCCTGACAGATGCTGTTCATGGGGACTGGTTTCCAGAGGGATACCTCTTAAATGGAGAAGTTGAGATGAGACTGTTAGACAGGGTAGCTCAGTAGGATAAGTCTGGATTTTTATTTTATATTTTTAAGTTTTTATTGTGAATTGAGTGATTATCAGTTTTATATTCAACAAATCATACTTTGTTTCACTGCAATGATTATAATTCTCTCCATGTACCATCAGTTAACAGTATTTACCTCTATTCCCTTTATTTATGTACATACACAAAAATATATATATATATATATATTCATTTAAATGTCCAAAGGACACACTTTGCAAGCCAGCCTCCTGCCAGCAGGTGCACAGCCAACCTCAGTCCCTGGGCCTAGAGTCCTCAGCTGCTCTACCTATGCCATTGTCTGCCACCATCTCTGCTGTTGTTGCTTTTCTGGGTAGGATCTCACATTCTACTCATGCTCTTCCCTCCTGATGGTCCAGGAATCCTCTATTCCTGAAATGAAAGATTAACTACTCCCCCCTTTAAGTTGCACCTCTTCTACATTTACAGTTGTGGCATGCGCCATTAGTCCTGATAACAATTACTCACAATTGAATCATATAATCACCATCTTTCTCCATCCCTTCTCACCAGATCCATCTGGAAAAGAGGAAAACTATTCAGTGGGGATTCTACCTTACCACCCTCATTCTGAAACTAACCACACTCATAAAAAGCTTGTAAGCCATACAATTTGTATCTTTAAAGCCCCCCATTTTTGATAGCCAATGTCTAAGCTGTCCATCCCTATCAACCCAGTGCACTGAAGAACCAAGCTTGATCCTTGATATGAAGAATACTTCCAGTTCGGTTGGAATTTTGAGCAACTGCATCCATAAGCAAAGGTCCAGTTCATCAAATTGTAGCTATTTATATTTATATTTGTTCCCTGTATCAAACATCTTTATCTCCATCTGGTCAAGTTCTAATCAGCTAGCCATCCAAGCTAGGTCAAGTTTGGGAGTTCTCACACACCTCCCCACACTTCAGACCAGCTAGCTATTTCGCTTTCAGCTCCAGCCCCCCAAGGCTAGGTCAGTGTTCATGGGCTTGAAAGTTCACACATCTCCCTAAACTTCAGACCAGCCAGCCCATCTTCTTCTCTCTCTCATCTCAAGGTCAATGGGTGTCAATGGAACATGACCAAACTCAGCCCAGATCTTCATTGCTGCATTTCCCCCACTTCTACTCACACATAGACCAGTGTGCTCACCAGTGAGCACAATAGACTGCTTGCTCATGGGTTCCCTTTGAGTTTCAGTGTTCGAAGGGGGTTGTCCCTGATGGACTGACTTTTCTTGCCTTGATGGCAAATAGCTTGCTTGATATTCTAACAGCCAAATAGTCTGCTTTTTTTCTGCTGATCTTGCTTTCAAAAAGTATCTTCTGTTCTTCTAACTGTTCCAGATTGGTCAGCATGTCTTTTCAAGTGGGAATGTTCAACCTCAGAAGATTCTGGATGGGGCTCAGCATTCCACTGAAGGCCCCATAGTCCACTAAGGTTTCACAAGAAGCCTATTTCCCTGGGAAAATTTTAATTCTCCTTTTAGCTAATGTAATCAGTTATAGGCTGAAGATGGGCTTACAAACTTTCTGTAATCATAATTCTCAATATCATTTTCTATCACACTTAAATGGATATTTTACAGTAGTAGGCAAGGGACACCAATATACATAAGACAGTCAAGACCCTTCACATTTTTTCCTCCTTTGCCAGTTCAGACTATGTCTCAATCTCTGTATCACAGAGCACTGTTGTTCCAAGGTTGTGCATATATCATTATTTCCCTCTATCCCATTCAGCCCATGTATACTTCCCTAAGTCTTCCCCTGTATTGTCATGCATCTACCACACTCCTTGTGTATTGCCTTCCCCCTCCTTGTATATTGCCTTCCCCATCACATGAGCTATCATATATCTACCCCCTAATCTGTGAATTACTGTCCTCTCCTTCTCACCAGTGGTAGCCATCAAAGAATTTTTCTTTTAGTGTGGAATCTTTCCTTAAGCTTTTCCAATAATGATCTTATGCATTATTTGTCCTTTTGTGTCTGACTAATTTCACTCAGCATAATGTCCTCAAGGTTCATCCATGTTAAGAGGTGTTTTGCAGCTTCATCATTATTCTTCAAGGTTGTTTAGTATTCCATTGTGCGTATGTACCAAAGTTTATCCATTCTTCCATTGATGGGCAATTAGGCTATCTTCATCTTTTTGCTATTATGGATCCTGCTGTGATGAACATCAGTGTGTATATACCTATATGTGTTATGGCTCGTATTTCTTGTGGCTATATACCATATAGAGGAATTGCTGGATCATAAGGTATTTCTATTTCCAACTTTCTGAGGAAGTGCTATACCATTTTCAAGAATAGGAGAACCCTTTTACAGTCTTACCAGCAATGTAGGAATGTCCCAGTCTCTCCATATTCTTGCTAGTATTTGTTGTTCTCAGTTTT